AAATATTGGGAAAACATATATTTTACAGTTGATCTCAAGTTTAAATTTTATTTTTTGTCTTCATCTCTTCTCCCCACCGTGAGGGGAGAAAATGAATAGATAAATAAATGAATGAAAAAAGAAAGCTCAACTGTTATAGTCATGGTACATGAACTGATTACTGAGGTGGAGTAAAGCCATAGAGGGCTATACTAAATACAATATCCCAGGTTCAAAATTGAATAAATCAAGATAGCCATTCTTAAAAATGAACTCAAATGCTTCATTAAAATCAAATGGCATTGAGTAACATTGATGTGCAAAATTTCAGTAACACTACTGATAATAATACTTTTCTTTTGGATTGACATGTGACACAACGAAATCATCCAAACTGCTCTAAAATGGTGCATGACCATTCACGAATGATAACATCAACAATAGCATGCTAGTTCATCATCAATTGTAGAAAATTTCTTTTCCAAAAAGTCCTAATGATTACGTACCAATCAATTCCATCCTATTGAGCTTCCAGCCAAGCACTAGCCCACTTTGAGCTGGAAATAATTTTCTTCAACTCGATCAATAACCTGCCTAAAGGACCATACTGCTGATATTTCTTATGTCTAGCAAGTAAAAAGACGCAGATTGGTATCAGTGAGCCCATAATGTGACATGTATACTGGTCAGCAGTTTTTCTGGTGCAACAGCTGTTATTTTAACATCTCAATGTGAATGTCCACCATAACAACAATGCACTGAAGGAGTTAAATGATTGCATTGGAGGCTTATTACATTTAGGACTTTATTACATATAGGACCAAACGTTTTTACATTTAGGAATTTATTACATATAGGACCAAATGTTTTTACATTTAGGACTTTATTACATTTAGGAAAGTTATTACATTTAGGCCTTCAACAGCCTCCCTGACAACCACTCCCTCAATGCCCCCCTCCAGTTGAGGCTTCATTGCACACTCCCCAAAACGCATTCCAATGCAACCCTCACTGAATACACTATACACGCATTACGAAGCAAACATGAACCTGCACATATATCGAATTGCTTTCAACTACCTACTGGAGTGGACTCATTAAGGAATGGTTTCGTATGAAATTGATGTGTTCGAGATGTCAACTAAACGAAATACCACGAAGACACAAACACAATTAGAACAGGACGGTATCTCTATTTGCCGCGTGATTTGTCCTTCGAAACGAAACTTTTACCATATGTATTTCGAAAACATTTTCTAGTCTCAATTTTTGCTAATAGGCTATTTAAACAATATTTCCTAAGAGAGGAAATAACAGCATTCTGAAAAAGTCGAGTTAGCCTCAGCTACCATCTTAACTCTCTCAATTCGCCTCCCGATTTCAGCTGTTTCATAAATTAAGTATAGAGTTCGACATGTATACGAGTCTTAGCTTACCTGTCCATCCAACATTTCAGAAGTGAAAGTTCAGACCATCTGCACAGGCAACTTTTCAAATATCTAACGTCCACTATCAGGTTATTGGTGAGCGTGCGCCTAAATCGATTACTTCTTTCCAGGTTCTACTCCGCCAAACTAGAACTGACACCTCTTACGGTGGCCAATTTAAATTGTCAATTCAGTTGACAAGACCAAAATTATCTTGTTCTACTCCCAGACCGACGCAACACCGTAGTTTCTTTAAAAACATACTCCCATATCATTTGTCTTTTAATCGCTGTCTCAGTATTTTGCAATCCGCAGCTTTTACGACAGTGGGCGATGCAAAGCCAGAAGAAACTCAGAAAGGAGCTACGCCAGGGAATCCTAAGTTACCTTTTCCTCCTATTAATTAAAGTCTAGCAATCCGTTTAACCAATATCACTTTTGCAAAAACGAAGTCTTGTCGCCGCATCAATTTCATCGGCCTTTGACTTCAAGTTATACCTAAGGCCCCATAAAGAGTTACAAAGCTGACGTTTTAAGCGTTAACCCTCGTCAGAGCGAAGATTATCCGAAAAGCACCTTGCGGCCACTTTCTGACACCCGTTTTATGAAAAAGTTGACAAAGATCTCACTTCTATTGACCAAAACATTGTAAAAAAACAAAAGTTTACGATCTTATAGCTAAACAAGAATTGTCGGTCACTGCAAAAAATCTCACCATCACTTAGAACTTCTTTAATTTACTTTTTACCTAAAATCCAAAAACATAACAACCCAGGTCGACCCATCGTCTCGGCCTGCAGTCGCTACATTGACGACTGTATCGGCGCTACCCCCAGGGAGGAGGTAAGTCTAATTCATAACCGCAGTCAATTCCTTTCGTCCGGTTCTAAAATATATCTGGGAAATTTCCGAAAATTATTTGTATTTTTTAGACATCAAAGTTTCAATTGAAGGAACGGTTTATGCTCTAGGGTGTATTAAAAACCTACACTCACGATCACATAGTTACTTCTTGTATTCATCTTCGGATCCATCTCATGTCATGCCTACGTATTAGTGTGCATGACCAATAATGTTTTCCTGAAATTGTACATTACACAACAGGGTATGTGATTATGGTTAAGCATTTTCAAAAAATTTAAAAGAAACAAAGAAGACTTAAGGCAGGCACAGAGACGTGCGAGACTGATCTAGAGTCGTTAGAAGTCTCGTTACGTCTTATGCATTATTTTCTTGTTACAAGTCGTTGTCGAGTCAGCTTTCAGAACTGAAAAACATGCGCTACCCCCATGTATTAGCATCAAACAAAACTCTCCATCATGTTTGAGAACCGAGTTCTCCTTGCTTGCTGTGTGATTTTTGTGAGCTATCGAGTTGAACACTCGAAGAGAAATTCTATATCTAATTCTAAATTCTATATCTAAAGTAAGATCGAGCTTCTCATCTGATAAGAGAGCCTGTAACCACCCACATTGTCTGTGACGGTAATTGTTTGAAAAACATTAATTAATAGGACAAAGTCAGCGTAAATCCAGTATTGAGGACAATCCATACCAGGCAGACTTCAGCTTCTCTGTAATTGCGACCAAAATAGCTCTTTTAATAATTATGTTTTCAGGAGAGTGGGGTGGTGTGGTGTAGGAGTAATAATTCTAGGTTGCTCAAAAGTAAAGGTTTTTTTTTTTTACCTTTTCAAAGCTTGTTTTCATTTGATCTCTCGTTACGCTGGAAGGAATGTAACGGCAGTAGTTGGCTCTTCCCTCAACTTTTCCTGGACCTTTAAAGGGGATAGCTTTTTATCTGTTGATTTTGGTTTCTTGATATCCCTTAATGAAATAGCAGTGCAGGATAAAAACATGCCACTTTTTGATGCAATTATTTGACTTTTTCATATTTATCCTAAGACTCGCCAAAATGCAGATTGCCACCTCTAACGTCCTGGGTTTGTCAGACAGTGACATTTAAGTGTAAGTAAGATGGCTTTTCCTAAACCGACACTCACCTTATACCAACCCGATGGAAATGAAATGTTCAGTCACAAATAAAGAAATTACAGTTCAGGTGGCAGTGAACAACAATAGTAATTTCGGCGATTCCACGTGCGTTACTGAAAATGGTCTAACTCCTCCTGATGAGAAGATGGCGAAGATAAATCAGATAAGTAAGTTTAATATAAGGGACGCTATGGTGAGCTCGTGAATAAACTTTGATATATATGATAAGTTTGGGGCAAAGGCCTACATTGTAAAAACGGCTCGGACTAGAGAGTAGAACTCCGCCAAATTCTTTGTCCAAACATGGATAGAGCTTAAGATTCGTGTTTACAACCGATCAGAATGGTACATTTTTTTCATACATATGTTGGTTTGGGTGAACCTTATTTTTCACCACATCGTATCTCTGCATCGCATTTCCTGAAACTGACTCCGATTCTGTCTCTTGGCCACAGAGAATTGGAATTTTTTCCTAGTTTAATATTATCATCATGACAAATATTGATTATGGCCTGCACCAACACAAAGAGTTTCCAACAAGCAACGCCTTTGTCGATGTTAATCAAAGTGGAAAGTTGATGGGAAAAAATAGAGCTCAGAGGTAGTTCAAGAATGAGCTTTTATCTTACTATTTTATACAATTCCGAAATTACAGCAAATGCAATTGAACATTGACATGACGTGTCAGGAGAGGGAAGGGAAGCAAGCTCTAAGCCCCGAACCGTCCCCAGTCATTTTCATAGCGGGAGTTCCTCAGTATAGTCACCTTGTGAATTTAAAAATACTGAAAACGTGGAGTGAAAAAGAACGGAGGCATAAATTTGCAACACCCTGTTAACCTTGCATTTATGATGGATGAGGTTTTAATTCTCCGCACCTCACCTCTTTGTGTGGCTCCGTATGAATTTGGTCTAATTTCTGGGTAATTTAAGATAATTTTGGGGCAAAGGTCTACATCTTCAAAAGTGCTTGGAATACAGAGTAGAACTCCGCCAGATTCTTCGTTCAAACATAGTCAGGGCTCAGGTTTCGTTCTCGCAAAGTTCCTGAAAATAAACTTATAGTAATATTCTGCAATCTGTTATGTAGTCAAGACAAAACAAACATTTTCCTTAAGATTTCAATGTTTTATTTATACTACGGGAAAGCCTCTACTAATTTAAACCCCAAATTAATTAAATTTTCTTTAAAAAAAAAATTCATCGAGAAGTTCCAATATATAAGGGTTTACACCCAAACTACAAGCCTTTACAAACACTCATTTATACCCTTTAACTATCTTGATCCAAAAGTTTACGAAGGCAAGAAGTTCCTTTCTATAAGTAATATTCTCGTTCGAAAAAAAAAATGATATACTTGTAACTTCCGGTAGTTTCTAAGCTTTAACTCACTATGCTTTCAACTCAACGCCTCATTCACGCCTAAATTACCACGTAAAGCGAAAATATTATTGCACATCAAATATCACGAAGACAGCAATACGAATTTAGACAAAACTAGACAAACTTCACTATGACAAAGGCGGACCAGGGGATCATTCTTAGTCTGGTCTCTACCCTTCGACTTGTTCGGCATGGGTGACCCTACCAGGAGTGCAAGACTCCAGCCGACATAGCTCTAGGGGTCACCGAGACACGCAAACTGCCCCACCACGATAAGGTGGTGATCCCACTCGGAGCAGACCCGAAATGCTAAACACTTAAATTATGACCACAATATAATCTTAACGTTATCAAATTATTAACTGAAAGTAGTTACTTTGGTCGTGTTTCACTAAAAGGAAGCTAACATAACACAAAACGTCCGGTTTAACAAAACTTTTTCAACACCTTTGAGTAACTCTTAAAAGGAATTCCTTTCCTTCTCACCTAATTGAGAAAAAGAATAAGGTTATAAAAACAAACTTACGTCACCAAAATCCTTGAGGCGACACCTAAGTTAAGTAAAGATACCAAGTTAAATAAATTTACAAAAGGAACAAGGTATTACAAGCTTCCATTTATTGGTAATTTTTCCAATATCACCCGCAAGATATAATTAAGTCGTCGCAAATTTTCTGCAAAATAATATATAGGAGGCTTCTTTCATCTTTAATTGAAAAATTGAAGCGACAGAATCCAAAATCGTGAGAGATTTTGCAGAGCGTGAGCCATGACAGGATTGGATGATGAAGACGGCCTATAATTATCCGTGGCTTTGTCTAACACAAGGAACTCACGGATGCATGTATCAATGAGGCAAGAGGTTTCACCCTTATCTTTCACCCCTATCTTTCACCCCAAACATGTTTCTTACCTTAGGATAGTAACTAGTAATTTGATATGTAGATCAGTTCGCGTTTGGGTAGTTCTCTTACCGTTAACTGCGCAACCTTAGAATAACGGCTAGCAAAAGGGAGTTTATATAGCTTGACAGTTAGGCTTGCACCAATCAAAGGCCATCGTTTACATACTGAGTAGTAGGAAAAAATGTTAAGAATGCAGATGACAATGAAGATTCTTTAGCAGAACTCCAACGAGGCTTGTTCTACGCGATGAAACCTCTTCGAAAGATTGAAATGTAAATGATACGTAGGAATTTCAACAAAATCAGGTCAAAATTTTCAAAATTTCGTTCTTTTGCTCTTTATCTACAGAAAGCATTTACGTTTAATTTGCCGAGAGAGGATTGTAAAATATTAAAAAGAACGCGAGATATGGCAGAAATGTTTTTGGGAACCTGTGCCGAAGAGCGAAATGTGTCATAATCGGAAAGGCCTCTAGCAGAGTGCTGACGTTTCTGCGGGCTTTCGTCCGGGATTTCGATTTGCGTATTTTGTTTAAATCACGTCTTGCACTGGACAACAAAGGGAATTTAAACCATATTTCGCAAGAAATTGAGAAACAAGAGTCTTTATCAAACGGCCAAAGAGAGAAAAGGCGCGACAGCGCCCGAGTCGAAGAAATCGTTAAGGTTAGTGTTTCTTTTTCTCTAGTTTGCTTTGCCCTCTTTTCCTTCCGTTTTTCCCGATGAATTTTTGGATTTTGCTTAATTCATTATAAATTCGCTATCTCCGATTCGAAATGACCTTTCCGGCAAATTTCAGAGGATTTCTTTTTTTTCTAAATAAATACGGCTTACTTTGTGAAAAACGTTGTGGTTATTGATCGTGGTGAATAACAATAAAAGCTAAGTTTTTTCGTTTGTCTCACGATGTATTCACGTGTGGTGTATTAAATATGGCTTGTTTCATGGGGACTCTTGTTTCTTCTAGGATCTCATAATATATGGGCTCTGAAATGTGGAAAATAGACCCTTGATGGCCCTGTAAATACTGGTTGTGATATCAAGTAAAATATGGAATATGAGACTATTTCTTTCCATCTGTGCACAACATAAAAGGAGTCTAAGTTTTCAGACTAACGTTATGCCATCATTACGCGCGCAAAATCCAATACGCACAAACATAGGTAAAATCAAAGAAAGAACACCATGAATAAAACCCTTCCACATTGCGGAAAAGAGAAGGGCAACAGTAGAATTTAATTAAAAGTAAAAGAAAATAGACTTACCGACTATTGTAGGTTGTAAATCACAAACGATAACAAGAGAATAATCAAGGAAACTGTAGAAGTTGTTGCATCTGCGCGGATTTCTGCAAGAAAAGAAATTTGGTACATAATACACTCCCCTTCTCCGAAAAACAAAACAGAAAAAGCATTTTTTTTAAAAATAAAATTTGCCTCTTTTGTCTGTTGCACAAATGAAACCAGATTTTCCTTTACAGGCTGTAGAAAAACTGAGGCAGGCCGCATTTTCGCTGAATTGTGTGCTTGTTCGTTCTCATACTTCTTCCATTCCCAATTTATGTTACAAACTATTTTAGCTGATTACGGCAAGCACCGGCCATTGGTAGCAGGAGCTCGTGAGGCTTACTTTTGATGATATAAATTTTCTCCCTGATACAACACAGAAAAACAGAACCAGAGTGAAAAGGCTGATCCAAACAGATCTCGACTAAATCAGCTAACACTTCTTCTTCTGCCGATTTGACAATTAGCATTTAGTAGCAAAAGTCGGATTAAAAAATGTTTGGCTCTCGATTATGACGCTCGGACAGTACGCCCTCGGACTAAATATGTTCTCGGCCGCCCCTCCCACTCAGTCAATGAGTACAAAGAATTTATCCAAGCCTGGGGGAGGAGGTCTGCATCCAACGCAATAAAGAAAAAAAAAGTCATTCGTTCCCCCAAAAGGTAATATTAAAAGGTAAAACGTAATATTTTTATAATGGATCAAGTTATAGTGGCTCCCAACTTATGCATTCAGGTAAAATTTGTTCTTGAGTGCATGAATATTGACATTAATTTCTGCGTTCGCCTGCATGCAGACTTCTTATTAGTGCGAGCTAACGTTATAAGCTCGCGATCGTTTATTTGACCGGCCATGTTTTATTTTGAGTTAGAATGGACGGTGGGGGTAGGGGGCAGAGGAAGGGCCGGAAGACGCCTGCCCGAAGAGGCTGTTAAAAACGGCTGTTGAAAAGCAAAACACCTCCTGATAAGTTGCGCGTCACTGCGCTTTCGGAGACGAGCAAGTAACCAATCAAACCTCCTTCGCAGTCACAAATGTGAGCTGATATTTGCTGCACTCTTAATTTTTTAAGCGAAAATCCTTGAGTACAGCTGCCGTTTACCTATTTGACAATTTTTTTTCCATTTGATCGTAAACGATACTTTGAAGCAACAAACAACTGCACTCGAAGGTTTATTCGCCATATTGTGTTTGATGCAAACCTGTTTACTCTGGTGAAACCGTGTAGCTGTTTTTTTTTCGTTTTTTATAAATGGATAAATGGTTTCACCAAACCATCTCTGCTGGCTGACGCAAATACGATTTGCCGCACTCTACATCCTCCAAATGACAATCCGTGAGCGTAAGCTACCCTTAATCCGATCGAAGATGCTTATTCCAGTTGACCACAAACACTGCATTGAAAACGACAGACAACAATTACGCTCGAAGGTTTCACGTCATAATTTCTTTCATGAGAACCAACTCCGGAAATATCAGGCTTTCCAAAAGCCAGTCGGCAAGACGGCCAGTGAGTCATTTCCAGAAACCAGTGCAGAAATTGCTTCTTTTTGTTCCGATTTTGATGCACGAGACCTATTAAATTCCGAGAGACACTTAGGTGCTTCCTCGAGAGCGGAGTCGTAACTAATAACTTCACAATCAGAGCTCGCCATCTTTCTCTTTCTCCCACTGGAACGAAATGTCGGAATGACGCCCAGATGACACGTTTGGCTTGTGATTGACAGCCGGAGCTCAACTACAACAATCAGGAACTCCGTTTGTAGGCGAACGGAGTTTTGCAAAATAACGATGACTTTGGGTAGGCGTAATGTTCACTCCCCCACCCATTCGTACAAATTTCTTTCTCTCCCCAGCCTTCCGCTGCCATTAAAATCAGAGATGACCGCAATAATTTTCGTTTAGAAAACACTGAGTACTCGCTCGCCAAAACTATTATTTCTGCTTCAATCTCCGCTGTTGAAAGGTTCATTTTGTTATTCTCATCAATAATCTGCTCCTTTCGTTTTTGCCTCTATGACTTGCAAACAAATATATATATATATATATATATACACGTAACACGTAACACGGATCACCTTCAGGAAAATTAACGATTACCGCCCGCCCAATAAAGCTGAGACAGGAAAATGTTTGTAAACCTCTAACACAAAGTGCAGTTGACGTTTGTAAACTCTCAGACATGCGCGGCAGTGAAGGATCGAGGTTAAATGTAAACATAAATTTTTACCCCGGTAAAACAAAGATGATATCTTCCTTTTTGATGACAAACTGAAGTAGCTTTCATACATACCCACATTAGTGTAACGAATTCCATCCCCAATAATCTTTGTGTTGCCATAAGCCCACACTTCGATAACTACTTCAAGTTGTCTCTTTTTGCTCTTTTCGGTAGCACTCTTAAAGGGCAAACTGCTGTAAGGAATCTCCACAGAAGTACTGGTGCCACACCCAAGAAGAGAATTCTCCTTCAAGAATTTATTCTCGAGTAATCTGATGAGATAGTTACTTGCTCCTTGTACTTTTTCCCACGCAAAGTTGACACCATCTGTCAGAATAATCTTGGTGTCGTTTGTGTTAGATTCTGACACCAATAAGAAAGATAAACATTATGAAACGTATTTTGACGGCAAACTGAAATGCAGAATGATGTAAGGATAGGAAGGGTGTAGAAAATCGTGATCAACATCAGTCTGAAGCTCATATATTCTGTATTACGGGAATTACCAAAAAACATTGCAACTCATTCACGGTGTAAAATCATCATGTTTTCGATAATTAGAAAAATTTAATTTTTTTAGTTCAGCCTGGTCATCAAAAATATCGACCGAATTTCTAAAGACCTCGTACAAACCTAATTTAAGTCTATGATGTTTGGTCTGTACTACCAGACAATTTCAAATATTATTCACTATTTCAGTAAGAGAATTTTCGGAACTTGTGCATATTGGAAAAAATTGGAAAGTTCTTGTGATCAAAATGCCAGGCGGTGTCTCCTTAGTGCTTTGTGATCAAAGACAATCGCCTCATACGAAAATAACGAGTACACTTAATGTTAGTGATTCTGAAAATCAGTTTGGTTTTGAAGTGGATGACTTATTCTGGTGAAAAAGTTCTTGGTTTAAACTTTTTTAAGCGTTGAGAATATAGCGATTTTATAGCATGGTCAAGAGGAGATATTTCTTCAACTAGAAAGCCACATAATTTCTGGAATCACTAGACACTACGAAATAAACGCCTAATACTGATAAAAAGACTGCCGAGACTGACTGCTGGGCAATCAGTCCACTTAAGACCGTTTTCCGAATCCGTTTTAGTGTTTCCAATAGCGGGAGTGTGTTCACCGCAGTTTGCATGAATTTATTAAGGAATCAAGTATTAAACGGTTTTTCAGCCGTCCAAGGCCACATAGTTCAAGAACTTATCAAAGTTCTCATTAACTGTCACTAGTGCGGACTTTCAGATGAGAACAGTAACTCATAATTGAGCTCGACGATTCTCTACGGCGTGACTCGGCAAACATTTATGATTTCGTATCAACTGAAATAAATCCATCTACCAGGATGCTCGCTCGATAAAATGTGATATATCTCTCAAATACGGGCTGTGTACGTTAGCTTTATTGTTCACTAGTGGCTAAAAACACAGCAAATTCGACTCTTTATACTGATAATCTTTACGCTCGTAAGCTGAAAGGGATGAGTTCCAGGTCTAAATAAAAGCAAGTCGATGGCTCTCACTTAAGGCGACTCCTGAGTGGCTGTTTCCTTGTGCGAAACAACGAATGAAGAATACATAAAATTGAGAAATGCGTCTTGAATATGAGCGCTGGCTATGCAGATGCTTCAGCAACAACAACACCACCAATATCTATAAAATATCTAGAACCATGGAACATTCTAGAACGTTGTAATAAGTCACGTATTTATGATGTACTACGACCAAAATAACTGCGTTGTAAGCTTCCGGAATGTTCCAGAGTACTTTGTAAATGTGTAAAGGACTCAATCGTGTAGTACTAGTTAGTTGCTGTTGTCGGGAGTAACCGACTGTTTAAAAAGCCATACCGAGAGAAAGCTTCTATGGAATTTGTTCCTTTCAATGAACTTTGGAGAAAACTGCGAGTTTGTGTCCGTGGTGAGCTAAGACATAAACCGGAGTGGGCTTAAGTATGTTTACTGAGGATAATTACTGTATGGTCTGTTGGAATCGCTCCTAAATAAGAAAACTACACGTCGTTTAATAAAGTAGTCAAGTTTACAGAAGAATAGTTTTCTCTCTGTCGGTAAGATTATACTGTAACAAGGCACTTTAAAAAGACCCATAATAGTCATCTGGGGAGAAATGGAAAATAATGAGTGCAAAAATGTTCAGGGAATTAAGCAGGAGTATTAATGATAATTTGAAAGAGCCTTATGTTCTTTATAGTTTTGGTAACAATGGATGTTTTCAGGTAAAGTGGCGACAAATGATCGGGATGTCCGTGCTGTTGAGTAGGGTAGACAGATGTGTTTTGTTCTCTTCCCACAGATTATTGGTGTGGAAAATGGTGGTCGAGAGACGTAAGCAGAAAGAGGATGTTTAGGTGTTCCTAAAATTAAATAAGCACAAAACCTACTGTTACTAAGAGAAGCAACGCGTTGGTGGCGCTGGAAACTCATGCATTATTGTCCCTCAGGTCCTCTCTTCTTTCTCTTAAAGTTGTCAGCTCATCTGTAGTTGTCATACCTGTTAGTTTGAATGGCTTCCGCAGAATCAGTAGAAGTTCAACTGATGGAGAACTTCTTAAAATGACCCATTACTTAACATTTATGCAACATGTGAGAAGTACGTTAGAACCATTCCTGATATAATGCTTTTAAACTTCATTGATTTTGCTTCAAAGTACAAGATGGTGAACAAAAAACTCATATCAACTAGACGATATTATTCCTAGAGTTTTTCCAGTAATACTCGATTGCCATTCTGTTACAAGATCCAGTGCGGTCTCGAATCAAACGAAGTGCGTCGTTGTACTCGGTGGCCATAGTGCCAAGTGATCCTTTGTGGTCTCAAATAAAACATGTCAAACAAGTACGTAAATGAAATAAGTCGTAGCACTTGGTGGCCACTTGCATTTGATCACACGTTGTTGCTATATGCCGGCTGCAATTGAAATCCATAACTCCAATGGAAAACACCATTTTTATAGTTACAGAGAGTGTGGAACAGACCTTTAAGGCTTTGCTAATAATACTTCAGACTACTCTGGAAACCACGAGTAGTCATTAAATATCCGCTTTACAGACTAAAATCCATAGACTGTTATGAAAACCACGACGTATTCTTTAGATATCCGCTTTACGATACTCAGACTAATACGAAAACCACAAGGTGCACGATTGCTGTTGCGCATGATGTATGAGGTCATCCAAAATGGCGCAGAGACTGCAGACGGTCGACAAAAAAACCCTTAAAAAAAGGTCACTCGTGAAACCACAGGACACCCAAGATTATGAGCAGAGACCTCCTTCGTCGAACATAAAAAAGTCTCAGGTATGCTTTTTCATTTGCCAAAATATTGAAAAAAAAACTGAAATAAAAAAAGCGGCCAATTCGTATATCTGTTCTAAACCACAGGATTACTGATAAAGAGAAGAACCAACCGTAAAGGATACTCAAAAACTTCTTCTGAGATCTGTTCAAATAGGAACTCATTTCTTAGCCCGAGACAAAACTGAAATTGAGCCACGAGGAATTGATTGATGCTAAGAAAGTCGTGCAATGATCAGCAAATACATGAATGGGAACAGAGGGTAAGGAGATTGTACTGAAATATATGGACTAGTGAAAGGTGTCCGCGCCTTGACAGAGAAATTGCAATCAAAGTGGAACCTATAATATTTGCTTATGCGTCAACTTGGAAAGCGACCATAATACGTTTCGTGTTTCTCCCTACACTTCTTTCATGCTCTAGTCGCTTCCTGCGTGCTTTACAACAGAACAGAGCATAGTTAAGGCTTCTCCACTTGTTAAACATCATACCTACCATTTCTATCAAAACATACGAAAATAATGACGCTACCCTAGCCGGGTAACTTTATCGCATGGCATGGTTAGGTCGTTTTCTCCATCTATCTTTTTTTTTTTTTAATTTGCACATTTCTGTAATACCGACATTTATTTTGCCCGGACAGTTTTTTTAAAATCTTCATAAGCTTCGCCGTTGGTCAACCAGAGACAAGGCCAGCTTTTGTTGTAAGAAGCTTTAATCTGTGAAATACCAGTTGTACTTAAATCTCAAGATTTTTTTTTTTCCCTAGAGTTCATGTTTCCATGGAGAGGAGGTGATGCACATTTCACCTAAATCCTAAGTTTGTACTTACTTTTCTCATGAATGGTGATGTTAGCTGTGAGGAAATTCTTTTCCAGACCCCTTGCAGTGCACCTGTAGCATCCAAAGTCACTCTCAGTGTTGACTCTGACATGCAAAACAGTGCTTTCTGTCTCAAGTTGAGTTCCATTGGGAAGTTCCCAGCTAACTTGAGGAGGTGGAAACCCCTTGACAGGACAGCACATTAGGACAGACTCGCCTTTGGTTGCAACAAAACTTGTGGGACACAAACCATGATCCTCATACATTACTGGATCTTGAAAAAGAGTGAAGAAACCTCCTTCAAAACGTTTTTTCGCAAATCATTCCTCACATTTTACCCCAAGGTATCCCTTGATGTACTTCGATTTTCTTTCAAATACACTAAAAATGTCACCACTTCTTAAAATAAAATGGCAATCCATGTTCAGATGTACATCCATGTACAGAGATGGACACGAACGCACCTACGGGCAGGAGTGCATCAAAATTTTGAAGTCATAGCGGGCTTGAACTACAGTTTTAGAGGAAATCTGCATACGCGTGTGTTTTTAACCTTAAAACCGTGATTATGATTACTTCGAATAACTTTACTACGTGCCGTACAGGTACAGACAGGTATTGTAAAAAGTTTGGTTAGCTTTTTCATTAGTACACATTTCTTTTTCATTCGGCCTAAGCTGAATTCTAATTTTTCAAACAGTTTTTCTATTTTTTTTAATATTCTTAGATCTCCTAGTATTACTTAATATTCATGTAATTAAAATAATTACATGAAATCTTGCAGATATAGGGCACATCAATTTTCCTATGACCCTGCCAACAGTTTATTAAGTGTAGGGATTGGTATTGGCTATAAAAGTATAGTAAAATTAAAGTTTTGTGCACAACCTATGCATCAAATTGTAATAAAGTATTATATCCTTCTTAAAACTAGTTTATCAGAATAAAAATGAGTTACCAGGCACATGCATGGCTTTCCACAATAATAGCTTGCAGGTTTAAAAAATTCACTTTGCCTGCTAAAATCCTCAGTTACTTTGCCCGCTAAAATCCTCAGTTCCTTTGCCCTGGCGAAGGGCTAGAAAACAATCTAAGAGCTCTGCATTTAGACTTGGCCAGCTCTATATATTTTACCTACTCCTCTCAAGTTGGCAGGTTTAAGGTTCGAACCCTGGCCATGTCAACTTTTTTGGTCTTTTTCTTTTCTTTTTTCTTTTTTTCCTTTCAATTTACATTCCTCTTCAAAGGATAATGTTAGATTTGTTCAGAGTTAAACGCACATGAAAGAACGTTCAACGACTTACCTTTTACATTTACATTAATAACAATATCGCAATGCAGAGACATTAGCCCTACAAAACCAAAAGTTCTCCATTTGATTAAAAGGAGGGTTTAAAGTTATAAAGTCATCGGCTAATACTCTTGTGATCAAGAGGGCAAAACTGCAATTTCCCAGTACTGGCTTCTAGACTAAGGTTGCATTAACAAGGCTATTTTAACTTACATGGGGTTTCCACATGTTAAGATATAACTTACATACAACTCCAAGGAAGGCTCTTGCAGTATCTGATACGTAGTTCGAAGCTTTGCAGATATAGTAGCCTGAATCTGCAGTTGAAGCATTTTGCACAATCAACTGGGACGAACCACGATGGGAGTTTATTTTGAAATCGGCACTGTTGGCAGAAATCTCCCTTTCAACCGAACCATTCTGCTTCTTCCATTTGATGGTTGGCAAAGGAAAACCTTCAACGTGACAGGTAAAATTTGCTGGAACACCACGTAAAGTGGACAGTGCAGGAGGGACAATCTCAACAACAGGAGGACCTAAAAGTAAAACAAAATGATTACAATAAAGGAACTCATCCAGCATGCTTTTGATCCACATGCCATAACAGTGGAAGTGAAGGAGGTTTGAAACACAGTAATTGTGATAACGTGTTACAGGTGTGCAAACAAAAATGTATCAAAATACTTATAGGTGAAATGTTTAAGATTTTGCTCATGGAACACACACAACTCACCCTCCCATATGCACCAACCTAGAATGCCACACCAGTATGGTTTCCCATGAGCAGTGACTGGTAATTTAGCTGAATTCTACATATTGAACTAGACTGTGAGTGGGGAAAGGTAAAAAGGAGAGGAGCACTAATATGAAAATAAAAAATAATATGCTTAAGTACCTTTTAAGTTAAAAGAAAAATTGAAATCAAATTATTGGCCGGTGAAATTCAACTAAAGGTCTGCCAAAGGCAAAATATGTTTTTTGTTTTGCTGCAAGTCTCCTGAGATTTCATAGGACATATTTTTGTTTCTAATAGCATAGCCATTTCCAGTTTTCAGAAAGTTGTCATAAATTGGCATGTGGTCACCCAAAGGAACGATATGTTGCTCCAAAGACTCCCTACATATTAACTTAAAACCAGACTGGGAGGACTCTGTGTTTTATAATTGATGTCCTGCAATGCCTTACGATGTAATGAATATTGGTAAAAAATTTTATACGCAACCCTGAGAGATCACAGGGAATGACTTGAAGACTCCTTAATAAATAAATACAGGTTGAGTGCTTAAAGGAGCAGTATCATGGTGAAAGGTGCACTGTGACATTTCAAAAATTTTGAAAAAGTTAGTTAGTTAGTTCTAATCACCACCAGAACTGATTTTGGATTTCTATCTTTCTCTACCTTTACCATCCATGAATAATTATTTTCAAACACATTACTTTCTTAGAGTAGAATCTACATGTATTTTTGTCTTCTCAGTTCTTCAATAATTTGCCAGATTAGGCTACGTTTAGAGTTACACCCAAGTGTACTGTCCCTGACTATTGTTGCCATCACATATGAAGGTGAATGTGCATATTGGAAATCCACTATTCAGCAACCTTTTACGGAGAGATCAGCTTTAAAAAAATGCTAAATAACACAAGACAGTCCTTGTGGGCTGAAAGTAAAGACAAGGATAGCAATACTGTCCACAGTGATTTCCTACCATTCTTTGCTTGCTCAAAAGATGAGGGTTTCAAGCTCTTCTTCTGGAATACATCACAATTCAATTCAGAGTTACATCTTTCCCAATAAAATGTGCAAGGTGAATTGAGCATGAAGAGGAAGGTTAATGGAATTCATTGAGGGAACTACACACAGAATACAACAGTACACAACAAACCACCACCACCTTGGACAATGTGAGTTCTATAACAATGAGCCTGATAATTTTAGCAATTTGTTCTGAGTTTGTGTATCTAGTGCAAAAGCACCTAGACACTATGGAGAACTAAAAGAAAATTGGATGAAGATGTCATTAAAGCACAAAATGATGCATAACTTTAAAAGGTTTTCACCAGGTTTACATTACATTTCATATTACACCACGATAGAATGACAAGCTGGCAGGAAAATTGTTAGGAATGCATAACCACATCAATAAATAATGGGAATGACCACTCTTGACTATAATTGACCATTACAGTTTGAGAAAAGGACCTTTTGAGGTAATCTTGACCAACTGAATGCAAGGGCAAAATATTACCATGAAACCCTAGGCTTTAGACCATGTACTCTAACTTTTGTTTTGGTAAACCACAAATAAATACCTAGGACAGCAAAGAAACTTGGTGAGTGAACCTTCTCTTTTTTCAACCTTTATAGTGAATTTCTTTAAAACAAGCATATCAGTAAGCCACAGTTTTCAAATTTTGGAGTCAATTTGGCCAAATGAAAGGCTGTTAAAGGAGCCTTAAAATCTTTAAAGCTGTTGTTGCTGCTAACAGCTGAATTAACAGCTGTGTATTAGGAGACATATTCATAAATCTTCAGGATTATACAGCTTTGCTACTGACCACAAGTGTTTTTATTTAAGAAGCAGAAACAGATCTGAAAGCCTTTTCACCAAGTTTGTTGATCTAAATGGACTGACCACAAATAAGCCTTTAAAGAAAAGCCAACTTAAAACAGCCCTAGAGGTTCCAATTTAATACCAAGTGAAAAATAGAGACAGTAAAATTGTGTTGTAAAGTTACTCATATGTTTAACATTGTAAACAACTACTGGTAACACAACAACAAGTCTATTACCTATGTAGCTACTTTACATAGATCCTGTCCTACAAACCATAAAGCCTTATCTGCATCTGTCATTAAATCACATGTTGTAATGTTTCAATGCATTTATCTAGTGTTGGATAGCAACCCTATGGGATACTTTCTGTTGAACGTAAAGGCAAAGAAAGTATTCTTTACAGACAAATTTACATTATAACTTTCCCTTTTGCCATGAAAAGATACATTAGCTCCAATATTTTCTAATTTCTTCAATACTCAAGGATTATAACAAACTTATGCAACATGTCTTTACATCATCTCAGCTAGTGCAATATGGACAAAATGGCTTTACACCCAAGAAACCTCACCTCAATTCACTTGTGGTAAATTTATCTTTGGTTTTAATTTCCCAAGATCAAAAGGTCACACCAACCTCTATCACTGGTATCTAGGTTAATAAATTACAAAGCACTAAAAACAGCTGAACATTTTGGCACACAAATCAAATTGTAAACATGTTTGAAACTCAAGGATATCATATTTTTTTCACACATTCCATTTTAATTTTTTATTTTTTTTCAAAAAGAACAGCAATCAGAAGTTATTTTTCTACAATGTTTGATTGTCAGCATGCACAACAAGGACCATGAGTCATATCCCTTGTCAATAGAATCATTGTCTTTTCTTTGAAATGTAAGCTATTTTTTGGACAAAAATGAATATTTTGATTAGGCATACATTACAAAGATTATGAATAATAAAGTAATGTAAAATATTCCAAAAACTGAGAATACAAAACCAAGTTACATTCAAGAGTTCTAAATCATGCCATCATAAGCTGCATGTGAAAAAAGGCATGTTGCCAAACACCACAGGAATAACAATAGTTTCAAATGACATACAATTCCACATGTCAGCAACATACAAGAGGGCACAATAATGGAAATTTGACACATGATATTAGCAAGAAAGCTCAAATTACTATGTCAAGTTTATTCCATAAATTAGTTGCGAAGCGAAAGACATGATGTACCTTCATGACAACTGTTAGCAACAGAAGTACTCATAACTCAGCTTGTCATTAAATCTGACCTGCATCGACTTAACCAAAAGAAGAGGAATTGAACCTATTTGTAACACCATTGTTCAACTCTCTGCCATGAAATTGTACTATTTCTCCATTTCTTGTAAAAAGTGAAAGCCATTTTCACGCGATGAAAAAACCCGATGCATTATGGTATTTTTGTCCCTTCATTACATGAGACCCTAGGAGGTTTCATCTTAATATACATATCACTACTGAAAATTAAAACAAGCTACAAATTGAGGCACTGTTGTTTGATACATGTTTGTTCAGATGAAATACAACCTGTAGTCACATTGATCAAGACTTTATTCATTTCCAGGATTGTATGCACATGGCTGTATGCATGGTTCTCTGTTAGAAGCTGAATGGACATTTTAAAGAGTGCTTACTCACAATTAACTTACTGCAAAACAGCTGTGAAAGATAAAATTACCACAGTGAGTGAACTCTTACCATTCCAGAAGAGCATCTATTCAACCCATTAGTGTCCATGACTTAAAATTTCCCATCAATAAAGGTTTGTTTGTTTAAAATATAGCAAGAGGGAACTTGGTGGATCGCTAAACAGGGGTATTCTAATCCATTTTGACATGTTTCAAGCGATAGATTTACATGATGTTCAAAATCCAAGATGGCAGAAGATTGAAATATTTCATAGCATTTTTTTTTTTTTTACGCTCATGCCCAACTGTGACACTGTCCTTTTAATACAAGTTTCACATAAAAAGGTATCATAAAGAAATGATAAAAATATCATTTTATGCCATAATTGACCACTTACACATGATGTACAAAAAGTCACCTGATAATACTACCAAAATATTGATTTCAGGAAATTAATATGGTTTAAATTTCACATGAAAGATTAGTGTTATTTTCATTAGAATGGTTCTGCTGTGAGTGACCATTCAACACAGGTGGAAGACAATACAGACAGGCTGTAAGGACTCAGTCTAAGGTGACAATGACTGCTTAAAAGAGGTAACTGCTTAATAGAGGTGAAAATCACTGTAATTATGGGGAACAAATTTCAGGACTTTGACAACCAACCACTCAATATGGTGCCACTTAATGCAGGTTTGACTATAATTAGAATATTGAAAATCCCCACAAGGTTTTGAAGTTCAACCCCCAAGATTGAAATTGAGTAAAGTCTTACTTGTGTGGTCAGATTTGTTACCTGATTAATTAGCTAAAAGAAACATTGTCCCGTTTGTGATTAGATCAAGCTAAAACGGAACTTTATGGTGGTTCTGCTTCAATAGTGCCTTTATAATTTTGTCAGCAAAGGATACCTTTCAGGGCCTACTGTACTATATCCTTGAAAGAGGTGGTTGCTAAAGGTGTGGCTGAATACTCTTAATGGGAATCAGTTATCAGAAGCAAGCAAGTCTCAAGTCCCTTTGCACTCAGCCATTTACTTCAGCCCTGATCAAAGATTCATCTAATCACCCACTTTGGCTTCTGGAGCTCTTGATTAACCTGGAAGAAGATACTGATGTAACAATAGATAGTGATGTAAACAACAGTTCCCTTCGAGTCAACTTTGATGACGACAATGTCAACTACAATTCCCTTTCAAGTCAGCGGTGATGAAAAGGCTGGGGACAACAGTTCATTTAACATCAGCTTTGAGCAAGTGGACCAGGACACTGCCCAAAGCGATATTTGGAGTTGATTACCTAGTACATTCACTTCTTGACAGCTTATACACTCGTTTTCTGTTGGCATCTCTTAACAGTTGCTGCAAGAGCACCACTTGCAGTTTCAAAGACAGAGCACCTAGATGTTTCTCCTTGTATCGCTTCCAGAGTTTCATTTCAAGATTTCTTCTTCTCCTGAAGACGAGCTATGTTGCAGCTCAAACATGAATGGACGAATTACACCGTCTGGATTAAGATCCAAGTTGGGAATTAGTCATTGTTGCTCTCCTCACCACTGTTTTCTATGTTTTCATCCATCATAGGCAAGATAACAATGCTTGAATATTGGTACATCATAGCTACATTACAACAAAGATGGCAGATTTTGATTCCAAAATGTCAATTTTCAAAATGTGATTTCTGGCAACAAAATCACTTTCAGCTTGAACAAATAGCCAATTAAAACAAAGCAAGTCAGGAACTTTGATTTGGGCAAACCCTTTCTGGACTGTACCCCCCAATTAAGGGCTAAGCAACAACATTACTTTTCATGACAACACTTTTTTGGTTTGCAGTGTACATTGTAGCTATTTCCTTTAAGAATTGTTGAAATTGAATAGCACTACTTGCCCATTCCAAAACTTCATACTACCCTCCATGACACAACAACATTTCATCACACAATAAAAATTCTTACCTTTCACAATTAATTGCACTACGTCAAATACATTTGACGCTGCAAAGTCATCTGAGACAAATTTGAAGATGAAAACCTGGTTATCAACCGCTTTGATACGATTTAGAGTAAACTTGACTTGACCAGGTGACTGTCGATTCCAGCTGCCAAGACAACGGCCAATGTACTGAGATACATTAGCGGCACTATGCCCACCTATAGCAAGGGTGAATAGAGTGACATTTACTTCAAGTATTTCCCTATCTTTTGTTCCCCATTCAACACTGTTCAAGTCACCAGTGTAGTTCCACGAGAAGTCAAAAGAGGAACCAAGTTTAACAGTCCTGTTGCTTCCACCATAGGATGATTCAAGTTGTACCTGACCTGCTGTTAGTAAGAAACAAGGCATCAAGTCAAAAACTGCTGACCTTAACGATGACTAAATTCTGCTCAAAAGATTAAAAAATTCCTGCTCAGACTTAATTTCATTCTACACTCAAAGGAAAACAAGTTTTCAGATCAATGAAATAATATAATCAATTGCCTAATAATGGAGTCTGTGACAATGCTAAGCACAGGATTCCTCTGCATACTGCTCACACATTATCATCTGAGCTGAAAACACCTTACATGCCATGAGTTTATAAGTAGGCACAAGTTTTCTGGAAGTACATGTACCTTTGACACTTTTGCACCTGTTATAGATAAGGCGATATATACTTTCACTTGTAAACACATGAGCAATCTGATGATGCACACTTACTCAAATATCATGTTCCAGAACAGTCTAATGAGAGCATAAAGTTAGGCATATCGCAAGGCCTCATATGGACTAGTCGCACAGGAAGTCGTACTATTAATTAGTGGTTGAAAACAGTCTTTTTGTGATTTCTTATCGTCTTGCATAGCAACAATATTTGTAGCAAAAGCTATGTCAAGGGGAGGAAATTATGTTAATTAAGGTGTTGTAAAGTATGGGTTCTAAGGGAAAGCTTGCCATATGTTGCACCCTTCCGTTTTCTAGAAAATCACGTGGTCACGCGGTATATTGAAACCGAACAACATCAGAATTACGAATTAAAGCTTTCCATACAGTGGAAGAAGATTACTAGATAAAATAATGATATAAGATACCCTTCGCGCACGCCTTACGCTTGTCTTTCTTCGCTTATAAAACGCAAAAAATTGAACCTGTTCTGCAGGCTTCCTGTCGCTCGGTATATCGACCGAGCCTCTATCGATACGTCTGTTGGCCGACTATCGACCGATGTATAAACATCGGTAGACATTACCTGCAGTTACACATGATTCAATACTACGACGGCAATAGCAAAGAGACTGTGGCAAAATAAAAAATTTCATGAACTGAACAATGGCCTAGCTCGTGTGTTTTACAACTTTGTAGGTTTTTAGGCCGTCCTTGGCAAAAGAAGAACGTGAAATCGCTTAACATTAACTGTACGAAAAAAAGAAACCCAAGTGGCTAATTATTCACGTTTTCTGACTTCGAACTGTAGAGGAGGAAAAATCTGGTACCGTTAGCGACAATGAAGACATCGAGCCACTTGTATATTCCTTAGGAGAAACGAAAGTTAACTTTGAAAGCGATGTTTTGCCTAGCTTGTTCAAGCACACTCTAATAAAAATATAGCTCTTCAAAAGGTATCTCACCGACAAGTCCGTCAGTAATGGTGAATGAGACCGAAAGAACACACAAATACAAGTTGCTAACTCCCAACATGTTCACGTCTGGTTCGAAAACGGAGTGAACTTTAAGCTAGCCACGATTTCCGTACCAAATAATACACTCCCATGGAAGAACCAACGTTTGATAAAACTGCGTCCGAATGAATGCTGGGATTGGTCATACCTGTATCAGATGTCAAGTATCACGTGACTTTTGATGTGAGCAAACCGCGAAAGTTCGGACATTGTACCCGTGTATGAACTTCGGCTTCGGCATTTTGTTGTTAATTATTTCCACTGTCATGAAGTGTTTCTATGCTCAAAATTGACTTCTTTTTTTGTATCATGTGCTTGATTATTCATTAGTTGATATTTCCCTACCATTAAAGTAGAAGCGAAGAATGTAGCAGGAAGCGTTCCAGCATGAAATTATGATACTAGTTCTGCGTGGGTTGTGCCTTAATCCTAAGACATGATCTCGACACCAAAATAATGATTATCGTTACTTCTTGAAATAATAAATAGCATTATTTCATGGCATGTGTGAGACCTTCGGGCTCGAACCTAGGGAACTAGTATACAGGGAAAGATAAAATGGCGGCTTACGGCGGCGAAGGAAATCTAAATAGTTTAATATTTTAGCGTGAAAAGGCTTGGGTGTTGTGATCTGGTTCTCAAGAAAAAAAACAAGAAAACATTGAAACGGTGGTAAAAAGCAGCAAGTTTCGAAGTCTAAACGAAAGATGGGTAAGCTGAGTTTCAGTCAAATATCATGACATTTGGGATGTAATTTCGATACCGAATAAATAGTTCTACATGGTTATACTCGCATAGGATTCTGTTGTGTTCACTTGAAGGCCATTTCAGCCATTCCTGCCACTTGTAAGTGGTAGGAAATAAAAGATATGCATACTTGTTTCGTATTGAAGCCCTGTGAAATCACAAATTTGATTTATTTCTTCTTTGTTTTAGGTGGTCATTATCCATTACTTTTGGAAGTCAATGCTGATGAGAAAGAAAAAATGTTTATGATTATTTCTTCTCTCGAACATTTTACTATTTAGGTACCAAATAATCTTGATACTGAAGACCATTTGCGCGTTGGTAGCGATGCACTAAGAAGTCGACTACCCAACGTACTATTTCCCGAGGTATATCAAGACTGTAAATTTTGTGTGAGCAGTTGATGGTCAATGTAGTCAAAAGCTTTGCGGTAGTCAAACAGGACCACCCTGACTGCAGATCCCGTGCCATCAGTTGCGCGCGTCCAGTGATGGAGCATGGACGTCAGAGCTAGGGCCGTGGAGGATTTCGGTAAGGCTCCAAGCTGGTCGGAATCGATAATTTTCTACACAGCCGGACCGATGAACGCAGATACCACGAAGTCTTCGGCTAATTTGGAAATTATTGGTGTGAGGGAAATGGGTCGTAAGTGTTTGTTGATGACTTCGACAGGTTTCTGTTTAGGAATGGGTACCACATCCGCCAGCTTCCAAGATGGGGGAAGTTGTTGCTCAGCAAAGCTACAATTAAGGATGGAAGTCACTGGCTGAGCTATAAAGTCAGCATATTCCCTAAACACCCAACTAGGTATCCCATCGGGACCCGCAGCCTTGCGGGGGTTCAACTTTCTGATTGCGGTCAAAACATCGACCTCAGAAATGGCTACCACCGCCGAGTTCGCTTCGAAGGGTGGAATAGCATCGAGTGGCGAGAAAGACTTCATTTGGTCCAGAAAGGCAGAATTGATGGCATTTGCGACATCACGGTCTGGAAGATGGTGATCCAGTCCCTCAACGTGGAGTAGCGAACGCAGATTGTCAGAACCTGATACAGGAGTCATCCCAGCGATACGCTTGACCTCCCCCCACCATTGTGAGGGCTTGGTGTTCTTTAGATGTTTAACTTTAGAAGCAAAAAACCTCTCACGAAGAGCTTTCCGCTCACGGTTACCAGTACTTTCGTCTTGACGACGGTTGCTATCCGCCATGTTGGTGCCCAATCAAATAGTTACAAATGCGCTTATAGTAAGGCGAACGTGAGATAGTAGAAATGGTTCTTTGTGTAGTTTTCGGCTGTGGCAGTAGAAGCGATCGGGAGAAAGGGATTGGATTTTATCGAATACCATCAGTTATAGATAATAAGTCTGCCTTCAAAGAAGAACTGACAACAGAGAGGAGAGAAAAGTGGATACAAGCGATAAGTCGGGGCGACACAAAAGCAAAAGACGTTCTCAAAAGCGAACGAGTATGCGGCAAGCATTTTGTCTCTGGAAAGCCATCTCCTTACTGGGACAAGCACAATGTAGATGGGTGCCAACTTTAGAGCTCGGAAAGAAAATTTATGGCCGTGAGATAGACTATGAAGCGAGAGCAAAGAGGCAAGAAAGAGCGAAGAAAAGAGAGAAACACGCCATCGAGCAACAAGAACGCGAAGCGGCAGAGAAGCGTCAGAAACTCATCGAAAGCAGTCTTCCTGTGGCCCAGATCGACTTTAATCAGCCAAGCACCTCCACCGGAAGAAGAAAAAACTGGAAACGATGATGCCTTTTCCGGTGACCTTACGGCATGTGATGAAGGCAGTGAGTCTGATGAAATCAGAACGCAAATTATGAGAGGCGCCGAGTGCCAAGCAGACACAGAGCTAAAGGATTCGGAATGCCAAACCACCGAATTAGAATACATGTTTCAAAAAAAGCACGTATCGGGCACCGGATAAAGAGTTCTTTGACTCTGACGAGAAGGTTCGCTTCTATACTGGTCTACCTTCCTTGGAAGTGCTAATGGTTGTGTTTGACCATGTAGCTTCACATGTAAAAAGGCAAACTCAGTCACTCGATAGGTTCCAAGAGTTTATTATTGTACTCATGAAACTTAGGCTTAATGTACCGTTACAGGATCTTGCCTACCGTTTTGTTGTATCGATTTCAATTATTTCAAGAATATTTTTCCATTGGATTGTGGTAATGGACAAGAGACTGTTTCCCTTTGTTTACTGGCCAGACAGGCATCAACTTTGGAAGACAATGCCCCAGTGCTTCCAGTATGCCTTTGGCAGGAAAACAACTGTTGTTATCGACTGTTTTGAGGTGTTCATTGAAAGACCATCAAACTTGCTTGCCAGAGCACAGACATTTTCCAGTTATAAACACCACAACACTATCAAGATTCTTGTTGGTATAACCCCCCAAGGAATGATATCTTTTGTTTCAGAAGCCTGGGGAGGTCGTGTCTCTGATAAATTTGTAACCGAGAACTGTGGTTTTCTGGACAAACTTCTTCCGGGAGATATGGTGATGGCTGACCGAGGATTTACCGTTAGTGAAAGCATTGGTCTCAAGCAAGCAAGACTGGTAATCCCAGCTTTTACAAAGGTAAAATCTCAGCTGGACCCAGTGGATGTGGAACAGACTAGAGAAATTGTAAATGTAAGGATCCATGTTGAACGTGTAATTGGATTGCTCAGACAAAAATTTACAATTCTGGAAGGTACCCTGCCAACTGACTATCTTATATCTAATCATGAAAACTCTGATCGCCACACTCCACTGGTGGATCACATGATAAGAGTTTGTGCAGTTCTTGTTAACTTCTAACCTCCTATTGTACCTTTTGATTAGGCAAACCTCCCATTTCAAATAGTTATGTTGTGTATGATTGAAGATAAATTTAGAAACAAAGACACATGGAACTCTCCAGAAATGTGGATATTCCAATAAATATTCTTAATGTACTTTACCATTTGTTTAATTTGTAAACCTTGGATGTTACAGTGCAATTCAAAAAATGGTGAACAACTGAAATATGCCTGAATTGTTACTGTGAACATTATTTATTACTTTTTCATTAAACTGTGTTCTATCCAGAATACCCCAATTAGGGTTGTGCTACTTGACTAATACCCACGACTTATTTTGGTGTTCACATTTTTTTAAAGTTGTACTGTAAATAGTGAAATAGTATTGCATCTGATGATTGAGAAATTCTCCATGAGGGTGTCAACAATATACTTCAAACCCTTGACCATTCTTTAAAAAAAAACTCAAAGCCTTGGAAAGAGAAACCAAACCCCTGTTTAAGTCCCCTTTTAATTAGATATTGCTTGTTGATTCCTGCCTTTGAAACCGGAGGGTTGTTTGACATTGTCTTTATGTGGGTGTGCCATTGTCAAAATGAGAGGAAAAGAAATGAAACATTGATTTGACTTAATGTTGGCATGCAGATTGGATGAAGAATGCATCCAGCCCTGTCATCTTTAATTTATAATTATGTTAAAACAGTAGATATTTTAGCATTCAATTGCCATTGGCCGTTGTGTGTCTTAGTAGGGAAAGCAAAGAATACCATGAAAATTACAACTGAGGTACAAACAACTTTGACTGGCAAGTGTGATTAAAAAAATTACCCTGCAAAACTTAGTTTTCTTTTATGAACAAAGTAAATGATCTTCTCATGCATGTAATGTACATAGATTGAGAACTGAAATTGATTAAAAACAAAATTACATGGATTTTATCCTTCACTTCAGACTGTATGCATAATCAGTGTACTTAGAATGTAGGGAACAAAGTAAACTTGCCATTACTTAGACATGATGCTAAGTGAGTTCTCATACTTCGAGCATCAAAATTTATGAATGTGGGATCTTCTCCAAAGACCAGGCAGGTAGAAAATGCAATAGCAAAAACCCCACATTCACTTCCATTTGTTTGCTGCTGCACTGGCATAGGGTTAAGAGCAACCAAACAGCCCCCTAACAAGTCATTTGTTTGTTCTTCAACCTCTTGGGTTAAAACAGAGTCATGATACAGGCTGTCATAAAGATTGACATGTCCCAGCTCACATCCAATTGAGCTGACACACACCCAGTGACTGTGACCAGTGTGCAAAATTTGTATGAATTCACCACTGACAACGTCAAAATTTCTAACTGGGCCAAGAGTTGGTCGCTGAAGACCTTCTATGCTTGAATTCTCACCACACAGCAAAACTTGAGCTTGGTGAATAATGTCACAGTCTAGCCATCCAGTGGGACTAAGAATTAAATCAAAATGGGAGTCAGTTAGGTTTCCCAGAGGACTAGACTTGTCACTGCTGCCATGAGTGACTTTAATGATAGAAATATCACTTTCCCCTTCACCACTTGAGGAATCTGATGAAGAAAAATACTTGGTAATGGTGGTGGCTGAATGGACAGTGGCAACTTTATTGCATTCAGAACATTTCCAGGTTGTTTGATGATTGTTGGGCATTCTGTTTAAACCGAGGCAGGAAAGGTGGAAAAATTTTCCATTTTCACAGTTGTCTCCATGGCATTCTACAACCTTCTCTGTTGTACTAGGCTTAGCCTTGCAGATGCAAATGTTGTCCAATTTCATAGCTGCCTGAATAGATACTGTAGGGGGTTGTGCCGATGTCCTGGTACCACCTCTTCTCTTGAACTGGGGAAGTTGAGAGCAGTGAGGGCAATACCAAGTCTTTGGCTTTCTCGAGGCAGTGAGGGAAAGACAGGAAGGGTGAAACCTTTTGTAAGGGCAATTTTTGTTACTGCATGAAATGGTTTCCTCATGTCTGATTTTCCTGTAAAAACAAACACCATCCTTATCTGGTAATTTAGGAGGCACTGTGCATCTTCTGATATACCATCGCCCTAGAATATCTGGAAGAATACATATTCTCCAAAATGTTTCCAATTTGGGCAGTACAGAGTTCCAATGCTGCACATCTGGATATATGCGCAGCACTATTAAATTCATGCTCTTTTTCTCATCAATGGCACAAACCACAAACTCACAATACTTGATTCCAGGCACAGAGAAAAGCTGCTGCTGCACCTGATAGTAGTAGTTGTGATTTTTTCTAAGCTGTAAATGTCCATTCACTTTTTCTAAGCAGGAATTCTTCTGCTGAGCAAAGTTCTCAAAGTTGCCATCTTTGATTATAATCAGGCACTTCACTTCACCGCATCCAGTGCCACAACAGTCACATGAAACTAAGAAATCAGGAGTGGCATGGAGAAATTCATGTTCTTTGTTAATAAACAAGCCACACTTCTAAACAGTTAAGTTCACATGACCAGTTTTTACAGCATCACTTTCATGCCTCTTACCATGCCTGGTAGCTTTAGTGTTAACTATGTAGAGGCTTGGGTAACAAATTGTTTTAATCTGAGACTGAGAGGGCTGTGCAATGTTTGTGTGAAATGCTGCGTGACTTTCAGACGCACCAATTCTGCCAGCACGATGTCTAAAAAATCCCGACCCACTAGCTTGATCTCTTGTGTTGAGTTCCACTTTGTTTACGTGCTCATCAGAAACATCCAATGTCACTTCAACACATTTTCTTAGTAGTTCTGGATAAGCAAGATCAACATTTCCCGTTTCAAATAGGTCGGGAATAATCGGCAGGGAGCGGCTCTCATCGATAAACTGGTCAGCATAGGGATCGATGAAGCTGAGAACAGCAGCTTTAATTTTGCAAGCATTTAGCTTCGCATACACAGCCTGCATTTCTTCTCCTGATAGAGACGCGATGGGCGAACTTAGATCGTCCTTCTCCGCTGAGTTTTTCTGTTGTTCCCCGAAATTTGGGTGCAGGGAGTCGATTCTTTGGTCCAGCGTCTTTTTAAGCTTTTTCGCGGACGAAAAGTCGATATCCCGCACCTTCGAGTACGGCACTTCTCTAACATACGTTGGCAGAATCCACGTGCACTTAGTTTGAGTACATGCGAGTTTCCCTTGGATTCTTGTCACTGCTTCGATATAGAAAAGGACACTTGCTACGTGCGAGCAGGATTTAGCAAGGCCTGCCTTGCAGCCTAAGCAATGAGCTGAAAGAATGGTAACATCACTTTCTGCGATGATCCAAATGTCTATCAGAGGATCGTTCATCCGTTGCGAATGTTTCACCTTCGCCACAACAACAATCTTGTTGAGAATCTCTGCTCCTTGAACCGAGTTTACGAAGCCAGACACCACTTGCTTGTACGCTTCAAGACTTTTGAAAGCTTTAAGCTGCTTATTTGTATAATAACTTGCCTCGAGAACTAAATAGGAAAGAAGGTCCGAGACTTCAATCGGGGGCAAACATTCTGAGTGGAACTGCTCCTTTGGAATGGCTGCTGGATCGACACCGACCACAGAAATTTTCTTTAAATATCGCTCTCGAACATGGCTTTCTAGGCCCTCCGCATAGCTCGAAAGCACGGGTATCCTGAGAAGAATATTCTCTTGCGATTCTGGATTTTTTTCGCTCGAAGTATCCGTAGAACAAAGTAGTTGAAAGAGGGCACTATAGAGATGGCACTATATTTGCATGAAATTTCACACCTAAGATAAGCACCAACATGGCGGACGATTAATTTGCATAAATGTATGACGTCAGCTGCAAACCAGCAATTGGTGCCACGGATACCTGTTATGCACTAGTCAGTGGAAAGCCCCGCACCCCCATACCCGGGGAATGCGAGTCATTAGCGGGGGATTTTAGCGGTTTTTAGTGGTCATCTTTGCCCCAAAGTGCGGGGTATTCGAC